GTGTGTGTGTGTGTGTGTGTGTGTGTGTGTGTGTGTGTGTGTGTGTGCGCGCGTGTGCGTGTGTGCGTGCGTGCGTGCGTGCGTGCGTGTGTGTTTGGGGGGGGTGGGGTGTTGGTGAGCGTGTGTGAGCTGCTCGGTCTGCTGGCAATGGTCATTCCCTTTTTATCAAGGCGGGGTCAGGCGCAAGCAACATTGCAAGCCACGGTCCAAAATTGAAACTGGCACGCGTGCAACACCTCTGATTGCCCGTACTTACCCTACGCACAAAACGCTTGCTCCGCAACCGCAAACTTCAGGCGCTCTACCGGCTGTCAGACCTGGTGGTGCCCTGCAATGCGACCTTCAACACCTCCTGGGAGCTGTGGCTGGGGACGGACCCCAACAGGCTCATGCCGCTGCTCAACGCGCTGGAGATAGAGCACTACCCCTGCCTGCAGGTCCTTGGACAGTCTCACGCCGGCCGCATAGCTGCGCAACCGCTATTGACCCACTGTTTTTTTTCCATTTTTTGGAGTCTCTGTTATATGAGGTTTGATAAAACCCGTCCCTGAAAGCCAGGAGCAAGCTGCACAGAGGAGAAGCGCCCCCGCCACTCTTTGCTATGTGAGGGTGGCCGCTTCTATTGAACCCCAGCCCCCCTGATCGACACCCGCCCGCACTGCTGCCTTCCTCCTGCCGCCCCGCCAGGACGACGAGGCGCCGCGGCCGACGGCGTCGATGCTCAGCCACGTGTACGCGCTGAAGGACATCATGAGCGCCATCAGGGCGGCCGCCATCATCGTGCATGACTACGGCGTCAAGGAGTATGCCCTTGAGGGTGAGTCGCGATGACATCACCGGGTGTCACGCTGCAGCCGCCATGACGTCACCAGGCATCATCGAAAGCGGTTGTTCGAGAAGCACTCCTGCTGGCCCCGCCCGCCAAGCTACGTGTGCGCCTGTGTTGAGCCCCTAATACCCACCTCAAGGCAAAAAGAACGAACCATAATCCATTGTGCATGTATTATCGTCTTTTCTGACGTGTGATGTATCGCAACACTCCAAAATGGTGCACAGTGTACGGCAGCCTGGACTTTGACCGCGACTACGTCACCGGGTGCCACAAGCTGATCAAGCAGCTGAAGCTGGAGGACAACGTCAACCTCAGGGGCCTGGGTGCACCCATCAAGGTGGGATTGGGGGGTGTTGGCTAGGGCGCGGCGCATGGTGTTCACTTATGGCCTGGTGGGGGCGCGCAGGGGGCGCGTGAAACCTCAGAGGAGAGACTGAGGGGCGCAAGCAGGCGGAGCTCACATAGTTCAAGCGTGCTTGTCAAACACACTCTGCCAATGCGCAATCGTACTGCAGATGCTTGATTACTTAGTCTGCCCTGTGTGTTGGTAGTATTTCCCCCATTCTTGACAGCAATATCTCATCGCACGCAAGTGCCAATGCCTGCTGCATCTTTATGTCTTGGGCGGCCAGTGAGATACCCAACCTCCATCCAATCAAAATTCAGCGTGCCAGTCAAGCTGTCCATACGAAGCGACTGCTGCCCAACTTTAATTTGATGCAAATCGCCCTCCCCCTTAGGTGCTGTCGGCCACGTGGCTGTACATCCAGACCTCCATCAGCGAGGGCCTGCCCGTGTCAGTCATAGAGGCCGGCCTCACCGGCAAGTGTGTCGTGTGCACCAACGTGGGCGGCTGCGCAGAGCTCCTGTCAAACCCCAACTCAGGTGCGGGGCGCGCGCATGTGCACGTGTACGGGCGCGGCCCTGTTTCTGCCCTCAGCCCGTGAGCCTAGGAACTGGTTTTGTTGGGAGGAACAGCATGCGCAGGAGGGCTCGCCATGTCTGATTGCGTGGCTGGCACGGCTGCTGCAAAGCCCAAACTCCGCTAGGCTTGGAGCTGTGAGGAGGTGTGACGAGCAGGGGCAGCGCATGCGCCTCCCGCTGCCAGCCGCTGCCTGCGATCAAGATAGTCCCAAGCTAAGGTGCAGGCAGCTGCCCTGGGCCCCTGATGGCTGCAGAGGCTTCCGGACGCCGCCGCCGGTCTCAATCTCTTTGTCTCGGGCTCCGACCCTGACAGTCGCGACACGTGCTCTCCCCTCCGTCCTCAGGGGCGGATGGAAGCAGCCACGGCCTGGTGGGGCCCCAGCCGCCGATGTTCGGGCGGCTGGTGGCCCCCAAGGATGCTGAGATGATCGCGTACGCCCAGCTGGAGGCACTGGGGTACCTGCCCACGCTGCAGGTGCGCGTGAGGGGCGCAGGGGGCACCACCTACCGCTGAGCGGGCTCACGCGAGCCCTCAAGCTCGAGCCCTCGAGCTCGCGCCGCGGGTGTTTGCTTCTGCGGCTGCGCTCTGCACACGCTGCGCCTCTCGGGGCCTACCACATCATCACCTCTCCAAGCATGAACCCCAGATTCAAGGTCCCAGGACCCTGCGAAATATGTTGTCGTTGCATCAACACCGCCATCACAGATCCCCAAGCTGCTGAAGCCACCAGAGGTGGACCTGCCTGAGCTCAAGAAGCGCATCCACGATCCTGAGGTGAGCCAGGGGTTATTGCCTATTCTTGGTAGGAGAATATGTGTAGGTTGGGACTGGTTGGGTTGTTGACGGCCGATCGGTTGGGCTCAAGCACTGCGTGCAGGTCCTGTGCAAGGGGGGGCCAGGGTGAGGGTGTGCTTCTGCACGGCGGCGGACACGAGGGGTGTGCGCGTGGGCTGCGGAAGCGCGGGCGGCAAAGGGGTGGTGCCCCCTCCCCCCCGCAGCATTGCTGCCTCGCGCCCGCTGACTGCCTTGCGTTCACAAAATTCTATATGATGCTGAACTTCAGCATCTTGAGACGCCTGCCCTTTCTCAGCGCGTGCACACACACGTGCGAGCACTCGCACACACACACTCTCGCACACACACACACACACACACACACACACACACACACACACACACAGGTCAAGAAGCAGCGCCACGCCCTGGGCCGCCTGTTCCGCCAGTTTGGCCTCGACCAGTTCCGCATGAGCCGCTACATTCTGCAGCACAGGCAGGCCCTGTTCACGCCTGCATACAAGAGGGAGGCAATGGCGGCCCTGGGCGGCTACGAGCATGCTTAACTGGGGTCGTCAGAATGAGGGGGCCGCGGCAGGGCCGGTATGGCGTCTCAAAGGCCCCATGGCAGGCGGCTGTCAAGCGGGGCCGGCGACCTGCTGAGTTGGCGCGGTGGCCATGGTGAAGCGAGCAGCCGTCTGGGTAGGGCATGGTGGCCCTTGAGTGCAGCAGGCTTTGAAACGCCCACGCGTGGGGCAGCCGGAGGGCGTTGAAAAGGGGGGACGTGCGCACGCCGTGGCTGGCGAATGGTGCGTGGCCCGGCCGCCCTGCACGGCGGCTGCGACGCGAGCTGGTGCGGGAGGTGGGGATTCTTTTCGGGGGTGGTGAGCGCCAGCTCGCAACACCTAATTGCATTGTTTTGCAGGGGTGGAGGGCGCACAACAGCACGCGATCCACAACCACCATGGTTTGGATCAACGCGGGATGTCAACATCATCAAATAAGCTTGTGGCTCGTGCCCTCACAACCACTTGACTTTGGTTCTGAGTCAACAACCCCAATAAATATACCGCGGGCACAATAAGGAGTAATAACGAGCGAACGGCGCGCACAAGCTTGCATTTTGACGGCGCTTAAGCGCCGTCGAAATGCACCTGGCACCGCCTTGCGATCCCAACTCACCAGGCTGGCGCCCTGAATGGCCATGCGTACACGTTCGCCATGCATACGCCGCCGTGCGGCGCTATCAAGCGTCCTGCCGTCAACACCCTCAAGCGCCCACCTGGGCGCTTTTGGGATATTCAACTTTACCAGCGCGTTGAGAGTATGTGCTGTTGCATCTCCCCTGCGCAGCGCAGTGCTCACGAAAACTCCCACATATCTGTGGTGCATCAAGCTTTTCTCTCCGCCCATGCGCCACAGCTGCCGTCAGGCACCAGCAGAGAGCCCTTGGCTGCTTGGACGGTCACCCCTGCCACTTGTTCTGTGCTGCACTCATTTGTGTCTATCACATAGAATGCGTTTTGTGTGTGTAAACCCTAAACTTAACCACCAGGTGGGACCACAGCAGCACCCCCTTCATCAAGGACGGTGCGCCTGCTACAGGGCCATACGAGCGGCCGCAGACACACAGCAGCTGGCATGCCGTCCTGTTTAATTGCGTGCAGCTGCACACTCTGGCAATGTGTTAACTCCAAAGCAGTGCGAAGCCCGCCCACCAGCCTGCGGAGTATGTGTGCTGCAAATGCTCATCAATATTGCGGGCTTGAGGTCCCTTACAGTATCGATGCAGAGTCCAAGTCGCATTCAGAGTTCAAGCCGCGCCTATTTACTTGAATATTAGATATGTGTCCCACATATGAGTGTCGATCATCAAGTGCCCAGGTGTGCACGTGGCAGGCAGCACGCCTGCACAACAGAGGATAACCAGCAGCAGGCCTCGCACAGCGCCACCCTTGGTGAGGGGTCACCTCACTGGGGAGCCTTGGAGCATGCGTGGGTCTCGAGGTTGTCATCAAACTGGCACGTCATGGCATCACTGTCAAACTGGCGGCACGTGTTGCTGGCGCAGCACGGCTGGTTGGGGCCGCCGCAGGGCACACACATGCCGCCGACGCACTCGCCGCGCTCGCACTTGTTCCCGTCCAGGCAGGAGCGCATCGCGCTCCTGCCTGCGTCGCGATCACGCTTGCGGCGGTCTGCGTCGGCG